GTCGATAAAGTGAACAAAGTCTAAAAGAATTAGGACTTTATACACGCAAATCTCGAGAGCTTTGCTACAAATTATATCAGATTATGCAGGACAAATTAAATATTTCTTCATATTCGAGGACATATATTGTATTAAAATTAGAGATGCATCGGGAAGGATTATCAGATATCCGGTGCATCTCTAATTAAAACATTGATTTTGTGATAATTTTGGACTAGTCGAATATCCTAGGCCTGTATTCCGTACACGCCAACCGACAATTGCCGGTGTCGTCATGTGTCGTTTTTTTTACCATTATAAAATATTTGCGCAACGACATATAACGACACCGACAATTGTCGGCAGGTGTGTACAGAATACAGACCCTGGCTGTTCCAGAATTGGTGTGAAAAAAATGCTACGGATCTTATCGTTCTTCACAACTAGGCAAAATCAAGAGTTGAGATCTCAGTTTCAATATTTAATTCTGTTACAAAAAGCCTACTTGAAATCTAACGATTAATGATGACTTTTATTCATTCTTGTTTCCGAAACTTAAAGATGTTTTCCAATAAGAGACAAAGATGACAACAGTATAGTACAGAAATTATCACATCCTTGTTGTCGGTCAATGTTGAACAAAGATGAAATAATGGTTGTTATAATCACTGTCTCTTTCCGGAAAGCACCATTAAATCGCAAAATATGATTTATTTTTACTAGCATATAGAAACTGATCATGATCACGATTATAGTTTAAAGTTATTAGCACATAAGCGACTGGGGAGTGCAAATTTTGCAAGCACATCCGTCTTCTACCAATTCTGGGACAAGCCAGCAGATGTGTAATTGTGCATCGTTGACTCGCATTTAAAGGAATCTATGATACCCCACGATGCTTGGGTCTTTTATTCTCGGCATAATTTAACATACACTACAATCAACGGAGAACGTTACGAAGAACATTGAGTATTCTCGCATCAATTCGGCGAACTCGGGAAACGCTTTACAATTTCACGGCAAAACCGTCGGCACGAATTGGGAAACGTAATGCCACGATCGTCTAATATTTCACATCTACAAGATTTTCGCGCAGCATACTGCTGTGGACAGGAGGACGCTTTTCTCTTTTGCTCGACAGGGTTGCGACACGCGCAAAAATCATGAGATCGTTCTCATACACGTAAAAAATCCACGGTAATCTCGATTCGCATTCGTTTGTATATCTCGAAGTATTTCAAAAGTGTAAAAGAATGCCGGAATCACGGTCTCCTCACCGCGCGCTCTTCCACGACGCGGCTCGAATTCCCCCTAACAGCGGCGAAATCGACGGATCAAAATCAACATTCTCACACGACAACGTTTCACGACACACGTCTCGGATTCGTCACGCAGCCTCATCTCATTTCCTCTCTCTCCCTCTCTCGGGACACAACAATATCGAGCGATTTACAGAGCGCAGCTAACTCTACAATAAAATTCGTTTACATTTTGTGAGCGATATTAAAATTGCTTTATATCAATCCGTATTTACATATTTCGTAGATCACTTTCAAATCGTTTTGCAAGGCATCCTTTGAGCAGTGGGCACTCTCATCCCGTGAGAAAAAAAAATTCACTGATTCAGGGATTACGAGAAGATGCCAATAGTGTCGTAGGCATCGCTATTTTAAACGATTTGAAATACGTAGTCTGACAATTAAATTCACAGGTAAAATTCACTTAAAAATACATAGAATATACCTATACGTACGGATACAATATAATACAAACATATGGATATATCAATTCATTTATCTAATAAACAAGATGATAAAAATACTCAAGTTTTTTTCTAAATAAATTATGTATTGTATTTTTTAAAAATATGGTCTTATTTTATGACATTTATACGCAATATTTTTCTTACTTTTTTAAAGAAAACGATATTGATTCTGTTTTTACTAAGTAATTGCTCTCAACAATGATTATTCAGTATATTGTTCACAAGCTTCATTAAATTTCGTTGTCAAAACGGAACTTATATTAAGTATAGCAAAAAGATAAAAAATGCATATCTAATGTGTTTCCAACATTGTCTAGATGGTAACAGAGAAGAGTTGCATCTACAAACATAATTGTCAGACCACGTAGATCTATAATCGCGCCGACTCATGCACGAATGTTCGAGCTGATCAATCAACTATTATCCATTGTACAGTTATCCATCAACGATTTTATTTTACTTCTTATGGCTCTTATACAAGTTATTTTATTTTACTCTATTTTTTTTTTACTTCTCGTATCGTAAGGAACTACGTTTTCCCTGAAAATATCTTCAGACATTACGGAGATTAAAGCGCGAACATTCGTGCCTCAGCGACAAGCTTGGTACGGTTCCAGTGTCTGTTAAAAGTTGTCTTAAACCACAGTTTCTATGTAGATCGATTTAACAATTTATAGACTTAATAGCGTGGCAGAATGCGCAATCAACCAACTCCACATCGTCTATCTCTCCTCATTGAAATGTTTGTGTATGTATGTGTATGTGTGTGTGTGTATTTATAATTTAGCTTTTTTACATACACTACGTATATAAACAACCTCCTCTCGATCTACATATATACCAGATACATACTGGACGACTTTTGCTCATTCTCATCTAATACCACAGTATTCCTCCGTTCGTCTTATGCATTATATTACTCAGTCATCTCATTTCTTCATCTCCGCCAAGTACACGTGTTCTCAGTGCTCTAAACAAACGACATTATCACTTTTGCTAGTAATAAAAACTCACGCCTGTAGTTCTTAGACGACCATTAACAAATACATTCAACCGTCATACACACATGTGCTTATCGAGCAATCCAGTTTGACATTCTCAAGTTAGAGGAAACTTTTCTCATCTATACACGTGACACGCATATCGACGAGAATTCATGCTAATGAGAGAGAAAGAGTGAGAGAGTATTATCATTAGAATTGTATATTAAGTAGTATCTCGCGTTCAAAAGAAGGAAACTGATGAAAAATCACTGTACGATAAAATAAAAAGCACAGCAGTACATACATCTCTTATATAGAAGGATTATATATATTTTTATTCTTTCAATTAATATACTCATAAGAGATAATTAGTGTACTCTCTGAAATAGTCAATCTAAATAATTCTTTTAATGTGGTATACAGTGATATCGCGGTGTCAAATGCGGTCTTTAAGTTTAACTGTGACGCTCTATTTCGTATGTTAAAGTTATTGACTATAATTGTGAGATGTGAATTGCATCCTTCTTCGTGCTATGACTCTTTCTTTTTCTTTCTTTCTTTCTTTGAAAAATAAATACTCTCGACCAGTAAAGCTATCTTTTTCATTATCGTTCAATCAGGAAACAGTTCGAAAGTCTTTTCATCAAGGATATTTCATTCAAAACTTATGACACATTATACACAGACATATAAGACATCTAAACAGGTTCTCTTCTCGTTTTTTTTTTTCAAATCACTCAATTAAAATGGAAAAATCTGATCAAACGATTCAAACGATTTTCTTTCACACACAATCGATCAATAATTTTGACACACCTGCACACTAATGTAAAATTCTCACATAATAAGCTATTTATGTGTTACATTTTAGATATTTGAAACATAAGTTCAAATCGATAATAATATACAATACGGATAGCTACGATCAAACGTTCTCTAGATGTGTTGCGAGCTATTCTGACTCATACATACACTCTCTCTCAGGCAATCATATCATTCGCAATTTGTACGCTCCTTCTGAAAATCTTAACATTTTGAAAAATCTTTCGCAGTAAAAGAATGCTGCAAAATAGAATAAGATATTGTTTCAACATAGGTACCACACAAAAAAAATTTCGATTCACTTAATACCTAAAATGATAAATACTAATTTTCGATTTTAATGCCAATTATTTCTCTACATGAAAATGTATTTTTCTTTGTAATTCTTACTATCTCAGTTCATTACATTTTACATTTATTCATTTTATTTGTTATTTAATATTTTGAAACAGATTTCTTCGAAACAATGCAATGATACTTCACTCGTATAACGGCGAATATATTATATTAGAATTACGAAATAAAGTTGCTTTCCAAACATTTTGCTAAAGGATGTTATAAGGAAAATAAAAATATCAGAAACGACTGCGGAGCTTTAAGCAAAGTACCCTGATTCGAATGAAATTATCTATTCTCGCAGCTGCAAAATTCGCAAATCTAGATCTCTCGAATATATCAAGGAAAAATTATAATTCTAAAATAAATAAGAGATCTGTCGTTAAAAAGTAATGCGCAAGAAATATTCTATGGAATATTCTAAACAGCTTGAAAATGCGATGGCAAGTTGTACATTGTATTATGCTTTTTACAAACGTCTAACAATTCGGCGCGGCTCTCGATTCGTTACAAATTATATAATTGGCTTTGGTCTCACGGGTACCATCTATTCCCACATTGCACCCATTAGATCGATCGCCTTAGTTACAAATTTAATTCTCGTAACTAAAGGTGATCTCAATCTAGTCTCCATCTACATTAAATTTTTGACGTAGATAAGGAGACAAAATTTAATTATAATTAAATAAAAAAATGTGGTTATATAGAGAAAGCCAAAATATCTCAACAAACACTATTAAGTAAGTATTTACTAAAGCCCCCACTATTAAAGAGATTTGTGACAAAGAAAGACTTTAGCTATTTCCAATTTTCTAATAATTTAATAATTGCTGGTTGAAAAAATGTATACTTAAATGGAATGGAGAAACGATGCAGATGTGTGCAATTGTATGTAGCTATAATTATTTCTTATATGATCGTTTCGCCCCTCGTCCAAGTTCACTTGATTATTAAAATTTTTATTGTTTCCTTGGACTTAGTTGCGATTTAAAAAGTGTACTAAGACACACATTATCGTCGCTGCAGAGCGACTGGGCGATCTCGGAATCTAAGTAAATGACAAATGAGAACGCACGGAAGGATTTCATGTGTCATGTGGCAGTTATTTCTTTTTGAGTAAGACTATTTTGGTATACATTTCACTGGGTTTAATTTAGTCCGGATCTACAATAGGTGTTTTAAGCCTTAAACCAGATTGTAAAAGATTGACAGTCAAATGCGAGAACAATCGACTACGATTCATTCATTTCGTATGGTTTAAGGCTTAAAATTTTACCTATAGATCCAGGCTAAATAAAGTAGCCGAAGTCTTCTTGGGACTCATATCTCGTCAGGTATCTTTGTACAAGTAAATTACACGTTTACCAATTATTATGCTAAGCAATAAATGTATTCGATCGTGCAATCTCATCATTGTACAGCTAAGCTGTTCACACATCAACTTCATACGTATTGATTTTATTCATGCCACTATTCATCGAACGCTCACACCAGAGAGTGACGCAAAAATCGCGCACATATATTCGAATGATCGAAGCTATCCGCCTTCAATTGTCGTAAACCTAAACGAACGGAATTGTGCTAATTTGTCAAACCAATAAGAGTGGATAAGATCTCGGAATATTATAATACACGCAGTGGCGATTAGTGCAAAACATTAGAAAAAACGTCAACGTACTATAGGCTCTGGTTCTTTTTCTTTTTCTGAGATCGACGCGCTTTTAGAACTATCGACCTCATTAGTTACCACCGTTCGTTATGGTTGTTGCATCGGGACCCGTGGATAGAGGATCCGTTTGGTTTTACGAGTAGACCCACGGCCCCGGTTGAATTTACTCGTACTTGAGAAAGGTATTCGACTTCTGGTCGCGCTGACCCGGGTGATTCTGCCAGGCGCCCTGGGACGCGTTCGGGTTATTCGGCCCGGGGCCGCCGGTGCCGGGATTGCCAGTATTGCCATCACCGCCGCCTTGGTTCATCCAGCTAAGAAAGCCAGAATTGCCGCTGTTACCAATACTGTTGTTACCGGAGGGCGGCTGGCCCGGTGGACCCGGCTGGTTCGAATAACCCTGGTCGTTTCCCTGGTTCTGCAGATTGCCGATCAGACCCCAAGACGCCTGGTTCAGAGCGGCGGCCACCAATGCCGGATTGACCGGTAACGCAGACAGATTCAGACCACCCATCGCCAGCGGATTCGACATACCGCCTCCACCACCACCACCGTTGTTTTGACCGGTGATACCAAGGGCTTGTAGATTCGGCATGTCGAGATTACCGCGATTCCCCGGATTATTCCAGCCATTCGGGCCCATATTGTTGCCCGAATGGCCCATATAACGGTTACCCTGATAATTGCCCTGGACGTTATTATCGACGGGTCCCGGCGCGCCCCTGCCGCCCCTCATGTTCGAGTTAACTTGATTATTAAAATTTTTATTGTTTCCCTCGGACTTGGGCGCGGCATTCGAGACGTGTACCGAGACACCCTTGATAATATGATCTTCGCCACAGAGCGACTGAGCGACCTCAGGATCTAAGAAAGTGACAAACGAGAATGCGCGGAAGGGTTTCGGGATGAAAACGTCCGTGACTTCGCCAAATTTGGAGAAATATTCTCGTAGATCGTCCGCGGTTAGATCTTCTGTGCAGCGGCCGACGAAAACCTTGCAGGGAACTTGCTGTATCATTCCTTCCTAAAAAAACGTTATATCAAATTTGTACGAGGTTTTCACGGGTATCCAAGTAAAACTTGCGTACAGTGCACATTACTCACAATACCGGCGGCGGTAGAAATCGCTGCAAGGCGTGTAGCGTTCGTCAAGAGAATGGCAATACGTAACATAGATACATTGTGGTTTACATCGAGTGTATCACATGCATATATTACACACAATCAATGTTCCGTAGAGACACAGTGTAAAATTTCTCGCTTCCGGCTTAATACGCTAACATTCCGTCGATTGCAATTAATCTGCACTAAACGTCAAGTTTTATATAGAAAATTCTTAAATATTTATATCTGTTGGTTCAAGAAAAAACGCCGGCTGACTCGATTTATATGTAAATCCACATATGTTATATAATGAACACTTAAGCACTATGACCACTTGAAATCCATGCATCAATCTGTACAATGTCTGTTTCTTTATATTCACAATGTAGAGAATTTCATGCTACATTACACTGTCTTGATTTGAATAAGTACGTATCTGATAAAATGTGAACAGTTATATTCCAGACTAATTATTTCTACCATTAGACAACATATCTGTTATATTTAACAAACACCATGAATTAATGGGAATATATATATATATATATATAAATACTTTTTCTTTGATGTTAACTCGATTATTTACTTTTAAGACCTAAATTATCTCTTTATTATGCGTACAGTTATCGAGAAATATTTTCAATAAGAGTCTTATAATTTTAAAGGAGAAATATGATGTAACAATTTTTTTTTATTTTAAGTGCTTTGAGATATATTTTTAAACGTACTGTATGATTTTTCTTCTAATACCACTTCAGAAATAAATTCTATTTTTTCTATACATAATACCATTTTTCTAATCAGTCTCCATATAAAAACTATTTATAATTACAAAAACATTTTATTAATTTTTCAATTTGATATACAAAATAATAAGATGAGTTAATTGGTGTAAAAGAAATACTGTTTTCTAAAATTATTACAATTATTTTCTAAAAGAACTTATATAATTTGTATGCTATTACATGTATAGCCTTGTTTTAAATAAATGTTTAAACTTCGATTTTTAAAATGCACAATACAGATAATTTAGATCATAAAATTAAATGCATAAAGTACGATTGACATATTGCTTGAACAAAATATAATTTGTATATATAATATATAGCATATATGCATTTAAAATTTATATAATTTTTCCAAAATTATACCACGCATCCTTTTCATTATTTTCGATATTTCTAAAATAATTCGTGATCAACTTCTAATATATTTTATATCAATAATATAAATTAATAAAATTCAAAATAGCACGAAAGAAAATAAAATCAGCAAAATATTATCATCAGAGATTTTGCCTCTTGTCTTTCTATATAAAAAATATTAATTGCCTTTTGTGTGTGACATGAACGTAGCGGTAAAAAAGCGTTTGATAAGTCAAATGTTAAAGATTAATAAACATTCAATTAAAACAACTAATATTTTACATGTATTTATATAAAATTATATAAAGTAAATATTTCTGTGATTTTAATAAACCGCATTCACATACTTTCCAACATTCATTCACATAAATTTTCAACGCATTTTATGTACGAATTTGTATCGATATCAAAAAAATCCGTCAAAATAACACGTTGCGAACAATACATAACAATAATCAACATTCGTAGTGCTTATAGATGCGTGGTATAATATGCGCTTATAGATGCGTGGTATAATATGCGCTTATAGATGCGTGGAATGTGCATTGAATCTTGGGAGAAAAGATCATCATCGTCACGAGTCGACACATATACAGTCTACTATTCCCATTAAAACATGATTGATTGTAATTACGATAATTTTCCTCTTCAGTATCTTGACGTATCTGCGACGTGGTGATCCCTCGATGGCCGATGCTTGTAATAGCGATCGTAATAGTTCTCCTTCGCCGGGTATCTCGATGGATCAGCGTATCTACCGTCGACTAGGTCGCGGCCATCTGACGTGGCGGCATAGCGGCCGTCTACCTCGCGGTTGTCCATCGCGTACCTGCCATCCACTGGTTCCCTACCATCGACGTACCTTCTGTCCATCTCACGACTGTCTACGTATCGACAATCCGCCTCCCGGCTAGGATCGACCGGCAGATGCCGGCTGTCTGGGTGTCTCCCGTCTGAATAACGCACTTCGTACCTGCAGTCAGCTGCAGCGACGGCATAACGGCCGTCAGCCTGGTCATAGTAGCACCTTTGGTCATACCCGTAACTGGTATACCTGCCCTTGTCGTACTGCTCCGGACAATTGTCGGCTGGATAGACAGCACGTCCCTCGCTGTAATACCGCGACCCGTATTCCGCATCGGAGGGATACGGGGGATTAGCGGGCGCCGCGGCGACGTTTGCATGCGGTGGCGGCATGTAGCTACGAGAATCATAGGCGGCGGGGTCCTCGTAGCCGGCGTAGCTTGGCTTCTCGTTGTAGGAGTTGTAGACGGCCTGCTGCTGACCGCCACCGCCACCACCGCCACTGCCACCGCCACCGCCGCCGCTGCCGCCTTCATACTTGTACTTGTTATCGTCGTAAGGATAATTCGGGGGATACGACGGGTAGTGAGTGGTTTTGTAATCATACTCCGAGTCGTATCTCGGGGGTGGCGCGCTCGGGGGTGGAGCAGTGGCCTCGGATGACGAGTTTACGTTGGCTACGTACGGCTTCGACGCCGGCACTCGGCGACTACTCGGTGTGTGCACCGGTATAGGTCGGTAGCACTCGTTACCGTGCTTACTCGTATCATACTGACGTGCCATCATTAATCCATCAATATTCTGCAACCAGATTACACCAGCCCTCGACAATCACATACAGACTTGATCGTAATGCTGAAGCACACATACGCATTCGCTCAACGCTCCGTAACAACGCGGCACACATCTCAAATTATGTACCGTAAAATGAGATAATTTGGCTCAGTCGGGATAATTTTGACCCAAATTTAAAAAAATGTCTAATCAACATATAAGACGTCTTAAAAAATCTTTGAGATGTCTTATGGTAGTAGATTATGTGGCAGTATTCATAGTTGATGCTTATAGGCTTTCTACAACAAGCTGTTAATAGATCAGAAGTCAAGAGCGAGTTGTAAGCGAGCCAGCAGTGTGTATAAAGCAATAATAAGTGAATAATCAATGAGATGACCGAATTCCATTTCTTACAATTTAAAATTTAGATTACGTTATGACTGACCAATCATATATTGTTATTTGCCTTGAGAACTAAATTTCTTTTGATTGGTTAAATGTTGTAACATAAAAAACGATCTAATACGATTTATTTTGGATATAAGTTTCCTAAGATTTATGGCTTATAATTCTGACTTACTAGTATGATATGAGCGATGACTAACGCTTATTGTAAAGCTTATTGTAGAAAGCCATTTAGAAATTGATTATAGTTGATTCTTATATTTAAGACTGTCTTAAGTACAGTCTTAAGATGAATCAATCAAAGAGATACATCTTAAGACATTACTTCATACAGTCTTAAAATAAGAACCGAGAAGACTATAAATATAGGCCAATAATCGATTCTTCTCTCTCACATTCGACTGTGACTGATCAATTTTTTGTGATTTAAGACTTAAGCTTAAGTAACGGCACATTGTAGAATGTTATATTTAAGACTGTTATATAAGTACAGTTTTATTACATTATTATATTATCATAAACGAGACAGTCAGACATAAGCATCTTAAGATATTAATGTATTAATATATTAGCTTAAAATAGTCTTGAAATAAAAATCAACTATAATTACCGGTTTTGACATATGCTATCTGAGCATTATCAAAATTTGGATCAAAGTTATCTCGATTTTAAGTCAAAATTATTTCGTTTTACAGTTCGAATACGTGTTGATACCCCGCCGGTGAAACACGCGAACGTAAATGATTTCGCAGCGCAGAATCTATTCCGCGAAACGTGACACGACGACGCGAACTATTACACCATTCATTCGCGAGTTTTTTCATTCATGATTACGCATTCTTCCTAGAATCGCCTCGCCAAGATCTTTTCCACGTGACCTCACACGTTCTGGAGAGACTTTAGGGCGTTACTCGTATCGTAACGACGCATCGCGGATCTCGCAAAATTGGTCAGAAGCATCGTTCCCGTATTACGGTAGCTCGCGCGAAGAGATTCTCGGATCTAAGAAATTGGTTCACGGCTGATATCCATTTCTATCAGATTAACTTTAATCTCGGTTTAACTTTCTTTTTTCTTAGTTTATCTTCTTCTAGTTCTAAAAATCAGAAAGAGTAAATTAAACTGAGATTAAAATTAAATTATATTGGTAGAAATGGACATGAGACATACTCTACATACGCGATTGCGAGGTCCTGCATTTACATACTTCAACACACAAAATCATACCCGTTACAATATTTGATGTATCCAGGAAGATACGCGCGCTCAAAAACGTGAAAATATCGATCTTTTCCTTCAATTACGCTCTCTCAATGCGCGACACATTCCTCATAATATTCTCATTCACGCGTACTCGGGATGTTAACGCAATTTAGCGAGTATTTTAATTTTTATCAGCGTAAAGATATTTCAAGATAGAACGAGGTAGTATGAGGATTTTTTTTTCATTTGAGATGATCGAGGCTTGCGAAAGCTTCGGCCACTTTTAAGAAATCTTGGGAAAGATAACACACGACACGTTAAGGTTTGTTAAGTTGAATACGTTTTTATCGAATCATTTCTCTCTCCATTGCAATGCCTCTGACACAGGACTATTAATCACTCTCCTAAAAAGATCTCATACCGTTTTAGAGACACAAACATACTATATTATTTACATGTTCACGCAAGCACACCGTTAACGTCGCTCTCTCCACGGCTCACGCACCACACTCGTATAAACATACATTCGTACATACAGACATTTTGCATTCTTTCTGTATAATTCCACCACTTATAGCCGTTCGCACATTCACCTATTTATACCACACAGCGAAATACGTCTCATATACATAAAAATAACATATTCAAGGAATATGAGAAAATATTCGCTTAAAGCATTATATGATAAAATGGAGATAGACAGAAAGATAAGGTATTATCCATATCCACAGTTGTAAGCTCTTATCAATTTTAGCCGATTGTTTCTCACACGACATTTCATCTTTTACTTGGAATATTACACGTGTGTTCATATCTGTACATATCTTAGAATATAAAGATACATAAAAATTTTTACAGCAATCGAAATGAGAAAAAAATTTGCCTTATATATTAGAAAGTTAAATATTACTTTCTATTCTATCTCAAGTGTTTCTTATTTTTTAAAATTGTCCTCCATAATAAGGGAAACACACGAAGTGATAAATTCTGATTTTAATGAAACTTTGTATACATATAGATTATATAAAAAGATGAATTTAGAAAACGTCCGTTACGGCGGAAAAACAGTTTGAAAGGGTGAAATCATCTCTTATGTGGTAAAGCGGTTTTTAGTTTTTTCCGTTATATCTCAAAAATCCGTTATATCTCGAAAACAGAAGAATGAAATCACTCCTTATTATAAGTAACGTGGGTTTTCGTTCTTAAAAACTATTCGAAATATCAAAAAATGTTTTATACAAAAGCTTTATAATAAAATTACCTCTATTCATTTATGTCAATAATATTTTTAATAAACAATTTTTTAAATTAAAAAAATTTTTTTGTTTTTTAAAAATATTATTGACGTGTGGATGAATAAAGACCATTTTATTGTAAAAATTTTGTATAAAACATTTTTTGATATGTCGAATAGTTTTTAAGAACGAAAACCCGCGTTACACTTATAAGGAGTGATTTCACTCTTCTGTTTTTCCGCCGGAACTAATATTTTTTAAATTCATTTTTTTATGTAATCTCTGTATACAAAGTTTCATTAATATCAGAATTTAACACTTCGTGTGGTTCCCTTGTAAGATTAATATGGAAGAAACATTTTAAAAACAAACTAGCATTTATCAGTCAACAAAATAAAGATAAAATTAATACAGTTTGCATGTTTATATGTTCAATTACATAATATAGGCAACGATACAGCAAAATCAATTAATAATAAAAAAATAATAAAATTAATAAAAATAAAATAATAAAATTAATAAAAATAAAATAATAATAAATAAAATCGATATAATAATCATACATTTAATTAGATCAGGATTTGGTTTATAAAATAAAAAAGAGATAATCTTGCTAAAACTATAAAATGTGATATATTATAGCAACTTGATTATAAATTTTGTTATAACTTTTTTATCGAAAATATGTACAGATTGAAGGCAAGTGTACTTGAAAGAGAGAGAATATATCATTTCAGAAACAATACAAAGTGTCTATTTAATAACACACCATATATATGAATAAATCTGAATTCTTGTATCATTTAATATTTATATATACATAATATACTGTTATTATATACTAAATTCTTGTATCATTTAATATTTATATATATACATAATATACTGTTATATTTAAATTATTGACAGTAATATACGATCAATGATTGAATTGATATTAACATTAATGTTGTATTGTATATTTTATTATTCAATGACACACAGTAATGTCTTCAATAACAGAATATGTGAATTTCATTAATAAATAACTGAATGAAAATGTTAGAAAAGTGTATAAAGAATTGCAGCATTTTGCAATTTCTTGCAAAAATATGAAATTTTCTTTAGATATCTTCTATTGCTTTTAAAATGATTTATTCGCTCCTAAGTATCTTAAATGTGCATCACCGATTAACGCCTTTAAGATTTTCTTATACATTCAAGAAAGCGATAAAAAAGTAGCAGAAAGAATATAGGATTTGCAAGTATAAGTTATGTTCTTACCTTACTATTAGGAACCTTGACATCGCACCATCTGCCATCTATCATATGACGTTGAGCAAGGCATCTCAACTGCGATTCATAACTTCCAAATCGAATAAAGCCAAATCCTTTGCTTTGACCGGATTTTGCATCTTTTTTTACCTGCGACGAAAGTGATCTTTCATAGTCAGAGCGTATAACATTTTACTTATGTGAATAAAATATTCTGCTTTTTATCATTTGCACTTATCAGAAGTACATTACCAATGCGTATATAACGCATTATAAATGTTTATCTAATTAAGTTTATTTATTACTACTTTATTTATTATTATTTATTAATTTATTATTTATTCCAATTTAGTTATTATCATTGTTTTAAAAACATATTTTTATTGTAGTTAAAAAGTTATAATAATATGACTCTTTTATTTATCTAATGGATCAGTAGACTTAAATACATTATTAGTGTAATGAAACGCAAGATTCCTTCGTATTAGTTTTCAAACCCAACTTCAATAAACGCGGAGACTTACCTGTGCCATCAAAACTTCACCAAACGTTTCGAAATACTCGCGCAAATTCTGTTCAGTTGTTTTCCATGGTAAACCAAGCACAATCAAGTCAGTGCAACGCAACTTCGTTTCCATTCTTTTAGTCTTAGCTGTGGAATTTTCCAAATTGTCATCAGATTTACGTTTGTTTTCTGAAAAGATATAATAGACGTTTACGTCTGACTCGTGATGATTTATAGAGAAAAAAAGTAAAAAAGATGAAGAAAAAAAAAACGATGTTGAAAAGAAAGAAAAAGAAGAAAAGTAACTCAAAGATTTTCAAGTTACACATTAATTCTAATATTCGTCAACGACGAAGCTAATTTCAGCAGCTGATTGCAGTACTCTTATGGACCATGAGAACATTATCCCATTTAGCTGACATTCATTAAAGTAGACAAATTAAAGTAAGTTTATTAAAGAAGACATACATATAGGAGTATCTCTAAAATAATACAGCATCCCATCAAACATGATGGATATAATTAAGAAATAATTGCTTTAAATAGGATATTTCAGGAAAACTTGGACCAAACTCTAACTTTATTGGCGTCTATAATTTAATCGGCAGAATTTCTAATTGCAATTCATTCTCCTTAATAATTTCTGATCTTTTTTTCCATGCATTAGAAGAGACTCTGAATAATTTTATCTATATTAAACACAATGCCTTTTTTTTTTTAAGTTGAACTCCTTGTACGGTTCATCTTTCTTTCTTTTCTCTTCACGTTAAAGAAAAAAATAAATAAATCCAGTTAAAAAGAACAGGTCTAATATATATATATATATTTATTACAAGATTATATCTGTATTAAGTGACAAGTTGAACAAAGAAGCTATGCGTTTCGCGGGTTATCTCCAGGTTTAGATTAATTGGCTGCTTTTATTAAATAAAACTGATCAGTGATTTTTTAATATGATTGGTTTTTGCATTTAACCAGCGAAGAACTAAAGGCAAGAACTAATATTAAGGAATCACTGAGCGCTTACTAATAAATTAATTTCTGCTGAACACAATCACTGATAGAATGTCAACGTTTTGTGAACATTGCAGTTCACTTCGTCAGGGAGAGGATAGACTGAGATTAATTCATGTGCCGTATGACACATGCTTTTTAAGCCTATTAATTAGTTGCAGGTTCTCAGATCTTTCTGATCAATCATCACACTTAAAAAGTTTATCGTTATAACACTAATTATGATACATAAAATATCCGGCTAATTCTGTATCAGGCTGCTACTCGCCCTGATTAAGCAAACTGCAATCTTCACGAAACGTTGGCAATCTAAAACAATGTATATACCTAGCGAACGAATACCAAACAGCAAACGCAAAAATTTGTGCTGTTATTTGTTACATAAAAGTTGTACAAGTTTAATTGCTATGTACAACAAACATCGAATCTGATCGAATGCTAGTATTCGGTGCAATCAAGAAAAAGAATAAACTACTCACAAATACAAACACGAATGTCTGAACATTCACGTTCGATGTTCGTTCGCTAGGTGTATACGTGGCTTAGCAATGGATCCATAGACACGGAGATAATCTGCATAGTTTCTTTACAGAAAGTACCTGTGAAAGTCTCAAAAGTATTAAGTTAAATAAAGGAAATTTGCACATATTACACATAAGAAAATACATATATTACACTCAAAAAAATATTCTGCTAAAAAACTTAATTTATGATTACTCAATTTATTTTCGTTCTTTTAAGTAACATCTTAAACAAAGAACATTTTCTTGAGCTATATATTATATATATATATACATATATAAAATATATATTCTTAAAATATATTATAAATTTTAGAAAAACTCGAAACAAGAATTTTCGTTTAAAAAATATTATAGTTTACCAAAGAAGCAACTTTATATAATAAATATAAGTATGTCGAATTTGTTTTAATTTAATAATCTTAATTAAAGT